GGTCATACTAGATTGGAATGAGCCCTAATTTGATGCCTAATACCTTCATATGGTAACGGGAAGCTTGGATGCAGAGACAAAGAAAAAGCTATCAATAGACAAAGGTAGATGTTAGAGTGGTATGCAAAAGTGTCTAAAATGGGCAGAAAATACCCAAGCTAGGATTATTCCCTAGAACTGGTGTGGACCATGGTTTTGTCATTGCTTTGATTTTGTACTTCTAGCCTCAAGAACATGAGAGGATAAATTTCCAGCATTATAAGATACCCAATTTATAACACCTTGGTAAAGCAGCCTCAGGAAATGAATATGGGAGGTCACTGCCAAGATGTTCATATAACAGGTCAGTCTTGCCTTAACCAACCTTGATATAAAATGAGTATTTCATTTGAGAACCTTCAACAAAAAGTGCACATATGGTAGGAAAATTCTATTTGAGAATTTTAAAACTTTGTGGCAGGTGTGAGTGGATTTGTGTTACGTTAACATCCAGAACAACTGCAAGGGGACACATATGTAAGACCGAAGATTCATCTAAGGAATGTATATTTTTCATGGATGAAGAAAAAATACAGGCCGGCCAGATAGCTCAGTGGATTAAAGTGCCTGCTTAGGCAGACACAGGGACTGTGGTTCAATCCCCAGCATGCCATGCTGCCCCCTCCCCCAGGCGCACTAAGACTAGGTGTGATGGCACACACCTGTAATCTCAGCGTTTGGGAGGCTGAAAACTGGAGTATCACTATGAGTCTGACCTACACAGTGAGACCCTGTAGAGCTTGCTTGGGGAGCAGGGCCTTCATGACTTTATGAAGGAGAAGAGGCAGACCTGGAGCTAAGTTTGGGATGGGAGACAGGGATCTAAATTGTAGAATGAATTGCATACATTCTGGCTTCCCCGGAGCAGCTCAGGAGAAGAACTGATGAGCCAAGGAAAAGGACAGTGCGGGAAATGTGAAAAAGATCTGGAAAAAAAGGTTTTATGGCCATGGTAACATGGTAGCTGGACAGGCCCTAGAAGGAAGTGGACCAGTGAGAGTTGACTTTGGTAGTGGCTGAGGAATTTTAGGATGGTTATGCCTTACAGTGATATTTTTAAAACATGTTCTGTGCTTCAGGAAAACTTCCCCCATTACCCTCTCATCAGCAGCAAATCTCTGCTAGGATCAGGTGCTTTGTACTAAAGGTGCTTTAGAAAAATTGAAGGGAGGGGGGCCATGGAGATAGTTCAGTGGCATAAGTACCTGCCTGACAAGAGCAAGGCCCAAAGCTTGACCCTCATACCACCAAAGAAAAAGAGAGAAAGAGAGAGAGAAATTAAAAATGGGACTAAGATTTATGTTCAGTTAACAGAAATGGAGAATAATCACAGGGGTTGAGACACTTGTAAGATTAAAAACTCAGCAGAAGAAATTCAGAGCTATAGATGCTTAAGAGATATTTGAATTCTCCTATAATCCCTAGAGACGAGGATTAAGGGAGACCAGTGCAGGGTTTATGTTGTGTATGGAAAGGCCTAGTGTTGGTACATTTGAGTATTAAAAGAAGTGGGTGAAACAAATGTACTCATTTATTGTAGGTCTCCCTAAAAAGAAACACAGTAGGGGCTAAAGAGATAACTTAGTGATTGCCCACTTAGGTATCAAGTGAAAGGCTTTGGGTTTGATCCCTAGCACTACCCCCCACCATGAAAAGAGATAATTAGTTTTTGTTTTGTTTTTTGAAACAGGGACTCATTCTATGTTCCCTGCTGGCATTGAACTCACTATGGAGAATAAACTGGCCTCAAACTCAGGGTGATCCTCCTGCCGCAGCCTCCTAAATGCTGGGATTACAGGCATGTGCCACGACGCCTGGGTTAGCAATGATTTTTGTAAAAATTGTATAAATCGTACGTGATTGCATTTGTAGAGCTACTCAAATGTTTTTCTATATGTGATTGGCTTAATCTTTATACTAGCCTCCCAAAATACACAGGCCAGATAATATTATTCCTATATAATGTGTGAGGGACTAAGATTCAGAGATGAAATAATTCATCTAAAGCCACACAAATGATAAATGACAGAGGAGACACATGAAACCTAGCCTTCCCAGTTACACAATTAATTGCTTCTTCCACATTGCATGGTAAAGAATGAACCAACAGCCCTAGAGAACTCAAGTGGTGAAGAGCTGGTTATTGGGGCAGTAGCTAAATGCTTTTCCTTGCTCTCCTTCAAGGGTTTTTAAAGGAAAGAGCACTTGCTTTTTTCCCAGTTAAGAAACAGAGCTGGCATCCAAACCAGTTTAAGAGCAAAAGGTTTTAGAGAACTATGAACCTAGATTTTCCATCTCACTTCTACTCAAAACCACCATCCTCTCGTATACAAAAGGGAAAACAGAATAAAATTTCAGGTTCCAACAGTATTCTCTGGACTCAAGTCTTCCATGAAAAACAGTGCTTCATTTTATGTATTTGCAGTATTTCTGAGTACCGTCTGTGTTAAAAGCACTGTACTAAGTGGTTAATGCAGTAGATACACTCTCAACTCTTCTGGAAAGCTTAACTAGGAAAAATAGACCTCAAGCAACTATGCATATAAATAACCATTATAAATGGTGCTAGGGCTGGCCAAATAGCTCAGCAGACGAAAGCGCCTGCTTAGGCAGAGCTCAATAGCTGGGTTCTATCCCCTGCTTGCTGTACCAGCCCCGCCCCCGGGGCACACAGAGACAGCAATGGAGACTAGGTATGGTGGCACGTGCCTGTAATTCCAGCACTCAGGAGGCTGAAAATGGGCGAATCACTATGAGTCCGATCTGTGTAGTGAGACCCTGTAGACCTTGTACCCTGCAGACCCTGTACTAAATATAAAAATAAATAAATAAATAAATAAATAAATAAATAAATAAATAAATGGTGCTAACTCTGCAAGGAAAAAGAACGTGAGGCCACAGATAGACTAAAAAGAAAGACCCAATCTGGATTATGGGGGGAACCACTGAAAGTCTTAAGGAAGTGACATTTGAACTGAGGCATAAAAGGTGAGCAGGAATTAGCTAAGAAGGGAGTTTAGACAAACAGGATATTGGTCTACAGCTACATGCAAAAACTTAGAGGTCACAAAAAGCTTCTGGCAGGTAAGGAACCAAAAAAAAAAAAAAAAAAAGCTGGTTTGACAGCAACACAGTGAACAATGAGGTCAATGAGGGTGGGGAAGAAATTGAGGACCAGGCCTTCTGGTTACTAAACCAGGCAACCACTGAAATACTTTAAGTAGCAAAGGGAAATAATCTGATTGGTGTTTTAGAAAAGGTATTATGGTTGCTGTCGGGAGAACAGATGGGAGAGGAAACACGAGAAGTAGGAAATTTGGTCCAAATGAAAAATAGTAACATGGCCCAAATCACCATTGTCTCTGATTTCTTCACTCTTATTTCCTTTAGTAATCTCTTTGCTCACTGTCTTCCAATCAAATTAGTATTTTTTAACTCCTCTTTTGAGTAGTAGCAGTTAAGATAAAATGAATCTGGATTTGAGATATATTTTGTTCTTTTTGTTTTTCTTTCTTTCTTTTTTTTTTTTTTTTTTTTTTTTTTTTTTTTTCTGTGCAGGGTCTCACTACGTAGGTTGTAGCGATCCTCCTGGTTTCTGCCTCCCCTTGGCTGGGATTACAGGCGCACGCCACCGCACCCGGACTCCATCGCCGGCTCAGCACGCCCGAGGGCGGGGCCGGCGCAGCAACTGGAGCCAGGGATTGAGCCCTGGCCCCTGCGCGTCATTGAGCAAGCACTTAGTCTGCTGAGCTGTACCGCCGGCCCTTATATTTTGAATTAATACAAGTAGTAACTGAAAGGGGGAGGCAGGTAAAGAAAACCATGGTATCAGGAATGACTGCCCAGGTTTGTAGTTGAAGTACTTCTTGTAGATAAATCTTCTGTTTATGGAGATGGAGAAGATGAGAGAATGAGTAGATTTAACTGAAGAATGAGGCAATATAGAAAGCAGGAGCTCACTCGTGAGAATTTTAAGATTGATATTTAGACTGCATCAGATATGTCCAAGTGGATCTTGACTAGCTAGATAATGACCCTGGAGCTCAGCAGAGAAATTTGATATACTTACATATGAAAATGTTTGAGACATTTATATAAAACTTGAAATAATGGAAATGAGTAGAAAAACTTTAAAAACATACATAGAAAAGAAAAGAGTAAACTTTTTGGTTCTCCCATCATAGCAGTATAATTTATAATAGCTAAATTTGAAAACAGCCTGGATATCCATCAACAAAGAATGAATACTGAAAATGGAGCTTTTACACACACTAGCATACTACTCTGCCATAAAGAAGAATGAACTTGAATCTTCTGTAGGAAAATGAATGCATCTTAAGATCATACTATTAAATGAAATATATCAGACACATGAGCTTAAATATCACATGGTTTCAAGAAACCCAAATATAAATAAAAGATGGATAATAAGTAAGAAGAACATTTGATAGAATGGGAAGGGAGTCAAGAGATGGAGGGCAGAGGATGGAGGAGAGGGGAAAAGGATTTAAAAACAAGATTGAGATATTTTATATATATATATATATATATATATATATATATATATATATATATCAAGCCCCCACAAGGACAGTAATCATTCTGTAACACAGACATGTATTAACATAAAATAAAAAATGAAAAATAAAGTTAGAGCAAGAATAGATCCAATGGATAGGCAAAATGGAATTCCTAGTAAAGTGTGTGGGAAAAGGAGGAAGGTGAACCAATAAAGATGATATTCATGAACAGCCCTATGAAAAAAGAATGATACTGATGTGTATGGAAGAAATATTTTACTAATTATCAAGATGTGGAAATTGATCTCACATAGTATTCTTTTTTCCTATGTGTATTGAATCTGTCTTGATTCAGTGAAAAAGAAACCACACAAAAGTACTCACTGACTTTTACAAAAAAAAAAAAAAAAAAAAAAAACACCATTGTAGGCAGTATCATACCTGATTCTACATCAAGGGAATATTTATCAATAGCCAAGTTCATGGTCTGGTAAGCAGTGGTACAAAAGTCTTCTAGAATCATATATACAGCATTGTTGACATTTAGAGGGATAGACTTGGCAAACTTCATTCGACTGTTCACCACAATACTGCCATTTCTAAAGTTCAAAATTTCCAAGTTCTGGAATCCCGTGAGGTTGGACTGAAGATAGGGAACCAACTGCAATATATGAAAAATTATAAATTTATTGACAAAGTTTTTCATTTTGTTCAATGCATACCAAAAAGACAAACAACAATGAACTCCTTGCCCACTTTTGCTATTTATATTATCTGCATTCAAACTGTTAAAAAAAATTATAAATTGGGAATAATATTAAACTATAAATTAAAAATGTTGTATGATATTGATCATGTCATGATAATACTATGATATTTGGGAACCCCATGGAATTCACAGATAATTTTTACCACATAAGGAATTTATTTTCTTTCCATCACTAATGGATCGCAACAGTAAAGACATGGATACTCACAAAACTGTTCTCACAGTAAATTTGAGCTTTTACATTTTATTGTAGTCCCAGAATTCATAAAGTCTGACCTTCAGTATCAAACCTATTCACATCACCTCATGCTATATTTGTGTTTTCCATTTCTTGAATCCACCTGTCTTATTATTTCCCCTACCAATTCCCAAGCCATGGTACCATCTCTGTGGGTAGCAAGAAATGAATGCACACACCATAATACACTGTCTTGGTCTCAGTCCTGGTGTGCTTGACTGGGACCAAGGATGCATATATGATTACTCATCCCCATGATTCAACTTTGAACTTACCAATTCTAAGAATCTTTGCTCCAGGGCTTTATATTCCAAAGAGTTTTTATTAAATAGATCTTCTGAAAATATCATGTTGGTCACTCGAAGGCTGAAGAAAACTACCAAATCTCCTGTAATCTGAGCATGACTCAAATTATCTCCTTTTGTGGGCTGAGCCAAAACAGTCATCTCTGTGGAGGGAAAATTTGTAAACATTTCCACATAACTACCAACCTTGCCACTTTGCTCTTGGATTAGCTCAGGCTGATAGTAATCTGTGCCTATCCGGTCCAGTTCTAATGAAATATCCTGCACGCCTATAATGACTTCATCCTCCAGTGGGGTAGAGCTTGGGGTTGGAGGCAATTTGGTGGACTGTGTCATGGAAGTTTCTGACCAGAGTCCATCACTGCTCTGCGATGTACTTGCCAATGAGTCTCGAGGTAACTTCCCTAGGGAAGAAGTTCTTACTGAAGCTATGTCTGATTCTGAGACTATGGTCCACACAGGCTGCAGATCTGGTTTCACTGTTGAAGTCTTGCTGTCAGACGATTCATGGCTAGATGACTCTGTAGTTTGTGCCACATCCTTAGTCAGGAAAGCATTCACTTGACCTGTTATATCAGAAGAGGCAGCTGTCAATAGGAAAGGTGTGTTGGTAACTGAGTGGTAATCAACATTAGGAATCTCTGATGTGTGTTTGGAAAAGGTCAGAGGTGTAGAACGAATTACAGACCCTGCAAAGATGGGCCTAGTAGGCTCCACAGAAAGCTCTTCCTCTGCAAAATATGTGGATTTCTTATCATGTGTATACTCCGAATGCTCAATGGTTTGTCCTGCATAATCCATTTTGTTTTCTGTAACAAGCTTCTCATCCATACCCTCAGTTGGCAAAAGTGAATCCTCCTCTTTAAGCCATGACGTAGACAGTGGTTCAGTGCTCTTCTTTAATGAAGTTTCACTCCATGGCCAAGACATCACATCTACCTTCTGTCCAGACCCAGAACCTAAACCACTCTCAAATATGAACTCCTTTTCCATGGACGTGTCTGGAAACAAATGGCCTGCTTCTAACTGGTCTTTGACTTCAGAGGCCAAGGAGTCAAAGCCAAAAGGTACAGTTATTTCTTCAGCAAGAAGACCTAAGGTAACAGAAGAGATCGGATCTGCTGAAGATGCCAGGGACACACCAGAGTTTTCCGTGGGTGGTATCGTTTGTTTTGGCACAGGTTGAATGAATGAACTTGAAGGCAATGCATCAACAGAAAGGAAATCTTCCAACTCTTCAACACTGACGAATCCTAGAAACAAAGGTTTACATTCATTAACCTACAAAGTCGCAAAAATACATTCTTATTTCTTCTAATAAAATTAGTGACTTATTTTTTCTAAGTTAAGAATGTTGATGATTTTTATATCAAGCAAATAAGATATGATAATGTGTTTATTATATGAGATAAACATTTGTAAATATAGACCCCATCTCTAAAGATAAGACTTGGACTATTGAAATATTTAATCTTCACTCATTTTAATTTTTATCCATAAGAATAGGAGACTGCTGACAGCCATGCTGACAACTGAGATTGAATCCAATGAAAATTTAGGGAGAAATTCTCCTGGAAATTCTTTATTTCTCTGAATTCTCAAATTGTCTCTTTGTCTATTATTTATCATCCTTCAGACTTACTCAGTTTTCAAAATCCTAAACTCATTATTTAAATCTTGTTCATCTTCTTTCACATTTGTGTTCTATCACTAAGTCGTATTTACTTTTCCTTTCATCTGCAACATCTAGAAGACCACCTGTCTTATTTTCATGTATTTATCTATTCTGAGTTTGCCTTAGTTCAAGTTCCCTCCTTCTCAACACAATCACAACCCAAAATCTTCAGAGGAATCCCCCAGTTAAGGCTATGGGAAGTAATCTTTGATGCCATTTGTTTACCTTCAAATGTTTAAGCAAATAATAGTAATGGTAGTAGTCATTTAATTAAATTATATACTCTTCAGGATGACCTTTAAAATACCTATTAATTGATTTTTATTTCACTCCCAAATTCATTCCTTTCTATTTACCAGTTTGGACTGTCCCATCTCACTAATTAAATCTGGTTCTTTCCTCTCTTACACATGTTTCTCCCTAAGGAATGCCACTGTTTTTTATCTTCACCATAGACTCTCTCTTTAAAATACTTTTCATTGGATATAATAAAGATGTATGAAAATGTCTAAAATTCCTCACCATTTTCTAATAAGTGAGATCCAGAAGTCCTCTCCTCAGAAGCCACAGGCAAGCCAGTCTGAAGCACTGCTGGGGTGACAGAATGAAGAGTCAAGCTGCTAACCTCTAAAACCTCCGAGGAAGGACTCAGGACCACCTCCGAGGGAAAGGCTAATTTAGGTGGAGACACTAAATCACCCAAAGGACTTTCTGGCCAGAGTTCCCTGTCAGTGGTTGAGGGAGGACCAGAGCTGAAATCAAGTGGTGAAATTTTGCTGGTGGCGGGTTCATCTGCTGAGGACCATTCAGCTTGAAGGGTATTATCCTGGGGGGAGAAAAAGGCTAAATCATATCATAGATAAAAGAAACATGTAAAATACCACCTATCTATTCCTATGCCCAAATTTTCTAGGGACAAGAGACTATAACTTTGAGTGGGGAGGGACAGGGTTCAAAAATCAAACAGATCAGTACCCAACTCCCAATTCAGTCACTTACTTCAGCAATTAGAAAATCTAGAGAAAAACTGTATAACCTTTCAGAATTCACTTGTAGAAGGGGCACAGTTGGGAGAACCTATTTTAAAAATTCTAAACAGTGAATTTGCAGGAGAAAATAGTTTCTTTTGCTTTGGATGGTCCATTTTCCTCCATTTTTAGGTTTAAATGAATTTAAACACATGACACTAACGCCACAATTTATTACCAAAGACCTAAGCATATTGCCCACAACAGAAACAATCAGCAATTTTATTAATCATTCTGAAAGATATTTAATAAAGTAATATCCTCCATTTTGATCAGGAATGTTGCCACTTTTAAGTGGTCTGATAATCTCAGATAAGTAGTCCAGCCTGTGAAATAGCATCAGGCCTTCAAAATACAATTTTCTCTTTCTAGTTTTTTTTTTCTAGTGCAACAATAATTTTAATATTCAGTTATAGGAACACAAAAGTAGAAATATGCCCCTTAAAAATGCTAATTATTTAGTCTTTGAAGAACCACTCATTCAAAAAATGTTTAGTGATAGTAACAGGTAAAATGACCATGATATTTTGTAGGAGTTTATATATTTTATTCTATGCTTGGCAGTAGACTAGAGTCTAACAATTTTTATCTACTGAAGTATAATCTACTGTATGAGAGAATAATGTACTGTATGTAAAGAGGAAGCTGAAATGCATCTTCAAATAATGAGATACAATTACAAATGAGCTGTGGTGAAAGAGAAAGACTTCAGGATAAGAAATTAATTCCCAGAGAATCCACCATCTGAAGTGAACCTGAGAACGGCAAGAATTAGTTCATGAGTCAGACCAATAATAATGATATAGTCAAAGAGACACCGCCCAACAGTCATTCAGCCAACTTCAGTATCTAAAGAGTTTGTAGTCACCAGGAGCAGACTTCCCCTCACAGAATCATATGCAGTGGACACAGTGTCTTATTGCTGACCTGGGTGGGCATGCTCCTGCACAACCTCATAGGAAAGAGATGCACAACACTGCTGGCTACTTCTGTCCACAATGTTCACATTGCTCAGGGTCTTTTAAGAATAGGGCAGATTTAGAACAAGAGTTCAGCTCCATATAAATGTGAACACATTAAACTGCAGTCCAGAATATGGAATTGCCAGAAAATGCCACCTTGTCATGCCAAAGGCTTGGATGCTTTACAAGGCCACTTTCTGGTCTACAAAAATCTGGCTGAAAGATAGGGCCAAACACATACATACATGAATGTGAACATTAAAAAAATTAAGTTTTAGAGCTAGAAAGTCTCTCAATAATGTAGTCCAATCATGTTTTGTTTTGTTTTGTTTTAAGACAGGGTCTTACTTCATAGTTGAGGCTGGCCTTGAACTCACTCTGTAGTCCAGGCTGACCTTGAATGCATGGCAATCCTGCTGCCTCAGCTTTCCAAGTGCTGGAATCACAGGCATGTGCCACCACACCTGGCTCCAATCATGTCTATTAAAGACTAAGAAATGAAGTTCAGGATTACAGGTACACACCTGTAATCCCAGCACTCAGGAGGCTGAGGTAGGAGGATTGCCATGGGTTCAAGGCCAACCTGGACTACATAGTGAGTTCAAGACCAGCTTCAACTATTAAGTAAGAACTTGTTTCAAAAAGACAAAAAAAAAAGTCTCCAAGATGGCCATGTGGGGAGGGAGGTATGTGGGCCTGGGCAGCAGTAGCGGCAGTGCCCAAGAGAGGGTAACCTTGTCAGCCACAGACTGCTACATTGGGCATGAGATCTACAATGGACATGAGAACCAGTTTGAGTATGAGCTGGAACAGGCCCTGGAGCCCAACAAAAGTACACTGTCACTAAGCCCACCTGAACTAGTGATGAGACAGTATGCTGGATCACTGTGGGCAACTGCCTGCATAAGAGGGCTGTGCTGGCTGGCACTGCCTGCCTCTTCACCCTATTGGCACTTCCTTTAGATTTATCCCACTATATCTCTGCCTGCTGGTGACTTGAGTTTGACCTGCTGCATCCTCCATGGGATCTCCTGGCAGTCTGACCCTTGCTGCAAGTACCAAGTGGAGTATGATGCCTATAAATTGTCTCGAATGACTCTGCACACACTCACCTCCTCTACCCCGGTGGTGCTGGTCTGGAAGGATGACCTGCACAGAAAGAGACTGCACAACACAATAGCACTGGCTGCCTTGGTGCACTGTGTAAAGAAGATTTATGAACTCTATGCTGTATGACTCCAGTGAACAGGGAGAGGAACAGAAACACACACCCGCAAGAGACAAGAGGACACAAAGGATTTGGATTACTGCAGTTTACAACACTTTTGGTCTGTGAAGCAGCATTACCTAGAAAGGTGTTTGGTGTAATATTTGTTATTTTTTCAAAAGAACACAGAGCATGGGTGTACAAAGGGTTTTTTTAGCTTATTACAAAAAACATGGGGCTGGAGAGATGGCTCAGTGGTCTAAAGCACCTACTTGGAACAAGCTTGGCAAGGCATCAGGGACCGCGGTTCAATCCCCCAGCACCA